TCCCTGGAGATGAATGCAAACTACAAACCACCAATAATATCAAGAGGGGCAAGGGAAAACAGAAGCACAAAAATAACCGGGGGAGGGGAGAGGGGAGGGAAGGGAAAAACCAGCAGAAAAAATATAAAAAGAAAAAGCAAAACAACCTCACAACCAGTCCTAAAAAAGAAAAAGAAAAAACACAAAACAAAACAAGCAAACAAATAAAAAAAAACCCAATATATTTAACAATCAAGCAAACAGCAAGAAAAGAATAGAAAGATAAGAGAAAAAAATGTTTGGATAGTGAAGAAGGATAAAGGATAGGTGTATAAGGATTTAGAGCAGTGGATTGGAAATAGGATCTATAAGTAGGGTGGAATTAGACAGGGGGTAAAAAGACGGAATTGGGAAAATCTAAAGCAGGAATAGGGTAAGAGAAACAGGACACCAAAAGGGGAAAAGTGAGGAAGAGGGTTTTAGCAAAGAGGTGAAATTGAGATAGGGAAAATTGATGCTAAAGGAACGATGAAAATAGAATGGAGAACACTAATCCCAAAAGAAAATAAAGAGAAAATAAAATGGCACTTTAAAAAATGGTAAAATGGTAGCAGTAATAATACTGGTTAAAAATAAAAATGTAGTAAGTGAAAGGGTAAAATCAGGTGATGGAAAAAGAAGAAAAAGAAAAAAAAATGGTTTCTTAGTAAAAAGGCTAAAAAAGAAAAAAAAAGAAAAAATTTGCAGTAGTGATGGTCTTTTGGTTCTTCTACTCTTCAGCCTGGTTCGCCTTAGTCCTGCCAGGTATTCAGGAGAGTGTTGAATTTCCCTGCGTTACACTGCTCCTCCGTGTTGTAAATCACAGTCCTGATTTTAAAGCAGGCCGTATTTGTGATCCAGTCTGCCTTAATTTGTATTCACCTAAGAGTCAGTTTGTGGCTCAGCCTCTGGGTGGCAGTGTTTTTGGGTTGGCCTCTGAGTCTATACGGCTTCTCTATCCAGCAGTAAGGGTTTATTTTCTCTATTGCACTTAAAACTGGTTTGGGGAGGCCAACTGCCCAGAACTGGTTTTTTAATCTTTACCCTGCTCTGTGTTGTTGATGGGACTGAAAGTCCCTCTATAGGTCAGACCCTGGTAACTCCCAGGGACTAATCAGCTTATTTTAATCCTTTATCTCATACTGGGTGGAATATGGGTGTGGCTGTGCTCCTTGCCTGGGGGGCTGGGGGGAGGAATTCCACCCTCTGGAGAGAATGGCTGCCCCAGTCCTGGGCCCAGGGGTGTCTCAGCACTCAATTCACTGCCACCTCCCCCGGCTCCCCCTCTCTCCTCAGCCTCTCCCCAGATTCCACTCGTCCGCACCTTCTCCCTCTCTTCAGAACAGGTGAGTGTCTGTATCCGAACTGTCCTATGAGCAGGGTTCAGTGAAAACAAACAAACAAACAAACAAACAAACAAACACCGGCCGGTCGCGGAAACGCTCCTCTCTTACCGGTCTGGGAAATGCTCCTCTCTTACCAGCACTGCATGATCTGGGAAACGCTCCTCTCTTACGGGCACTGCATGATCTGGTCAGTTCCTTAGGGTGCCCCCTTTAGGCTCAGTTCTCCGCAATCACAAAATCCAAATCTCAAATCTCCCAGCGCTAGCAAACCCTCGGAACTCTTTTCCCCAGTGAGGGGCTGTGTCTGTCCCAAGAGACGCGGCTGTGTGCCACGCGGTCTCCCTCCGACCCTCTGGGCTCAGAGGTCTGGCAAACTTTCCTGCCCAGATCCCAGGTTTTTTACCTTTCAAGGGGAGCTCTGCCCTTCCCGGCTGCAAACCGTCTCACCAGCTGAGTAAATTTGCCAATTCCGGGTGGGTGTTATTAGTTTCAGCTGCTTCTCCGTCTGCTCCAGAACAAGACCTGGGACACATCTGCCTATATCGCTGCCATCTTGCTCTCCTCTGGGTCCACCAATGCTTTTAGGATAGGCTGCATTTCAGAGTGGGGTTTATAGGAGCTGTTGCCTTTCACTCTATCTTAGATGAATTATCATATAAAACTGAGAGGTCACCTTCAGCATGACTGTAAAAGTGATGCTGCAAGGGATCAAACAATGACCCAGTATGATCTCAGCTAGCCTGGGAAAACCACCCAAATCTCAGATCATAGAAATGTAATGGACTCACTCCTTGATCTGATTTTCCCTTTGGAGCATTTATTAATCA